CCTTTGTGTGATCTTATCACACTTCACAAAGGGAAGAAGACCTGGCTCCCGAAAGACAAATTGGTTGTCAATCACCTCTTTTCATTTTCTTACATTCTAGGATTTTGGAAAACAGGAAGCAACAGGTGTGTTTTGGGGGCTAGCATGCCACGTTTAACCCCCACAATTGTGTGAAGTTTTGACCCCAGACGGCAATTTTGAAATCGATGAGTCTTTCCCTTGGGAAAGAGAAAAGTGCTGAAATAAAAATTTTAGCTACACACAGACGAATGAAACTTGAGCTGAGTACACAAAGAATAAATGAAACTAATATACTTGTATTCAGTCCTAGCGCAGAGTCAGAAAACTCCCCATTCCTCCATGAACATAATATTTAATCCTAAACGACTTATAAGTTAATCATGAAATATTATTACATCATAAACTGTTATAATAATAAAGAAATTCTGTCCACGTCACAGAGTAGAAAAGGAGAAGACTGGTGCTGCCATCTATTGGCGTGGTACCCTCAGTGTGGGCGCCGGTATATATTATATACCGGTTTTTAAAATCGTATAAATAATCTGCTGTTAATTATCACTTCTGACTGAAATGAAGTAAATATTGAGATTCAGCATGTGTACGTCATATATTTGCAGATTTTTGAATTTTTTCTTTCCCTCCAATAGAATTTATCAATCTTCCAACATGATACCTTGGAACGACGTATATTAATTTCATAACTGTAAAATATTGAGCATTCATAGGGTGATGTTGCCATTTAGAATCGAAAGAAAATACTAGACACTTACGATTATAGCTTTTGGTGTAGAAAAATTAGCATTTTTTCGGAGGTTAAAAAATTGACAAACAACCGGTATATATTATATACCTTCAAAGGGTTATGGACAAAAAATTATGTGTCATAACTGAAGAACTCCATGTAATTTAGCACCTAAATATGGTAGTATTCCTGTACTTTTGTAAATATGAAGTGAGCTGAGTAAGATATTGAAAATGATAGCCTAAAATAGACAACAGAGCATTTAGGAGTGGAATTCTTGGTTCCAGTAACTGAGCTCTCCCAAAAATTTGTTTCTTAACAAAATAAAAATAAAGCTCATTTGATGAGAAGTGTAGTGCTTTGAAAACTCCTTAAGAATATTGAAGCTGTACGGTTAGTGCGGTGAAACAATACGTGGCAAAATCCTGGTGTCGAGCCCACTTTTCATCCTGTCCTATTCCGTACCTCTAATGATGTACTCTCTTCAAGGAAGCATAGTCATACTGACGTGAGCAATTATCATAACGCAATACGTTTCCTTTTCGTCCAGTATACTGTCAGTATTCCTTCCTTAGAGATGCGCAGTTCTTTACTTTCACATCTAAACAAAATCCATGTTTCTTCAAAAAATCGAATCCGGGTATGAATAGATCTGTTTTTATTGACCATATAGTCTGTGTGCTCATATATACAGCATGCTTACTTGATGTGCACATGTTTCCATTTACACTTCGTAGAACTAATGCAATAGTCTTATCCAGAATATTTTCTGCCCATTTGCAGGGCTACATCAGCTTTTTTTAGTTATAATAGCGTCAGTGTCTATAGCCAAGCGTCAAGAAGATCCATTTATTTCTCTTTCCACATACAGTCCTACCACCGTGAAATGGTCCAATCGGAAGAACGCCGGCAGCTGAGTCTTCTGTTTTCACTAATTCCTGCTTTTTCGTGTGACTTTTATTACAGAACATTGCCTCCATAAATATCTTTCAATAAGGCAACCGCTGCCGTTTAATCTATCACTACTACGCCTTTGTGTCTTAAGCACATCCATTATATCCAGTCTTTTCGTCAAATCTGTCACCGTTCCCAGTATTGTGCCTTGCGTTGACATTCTTTAAAAACTACAATCTTTTCTGCACATTCTCCACTTTCATAGTATGTATTAGAGCATCTTTATTATCAACCATCCAGAGTGCCTGTTGTATATTGGGACCTCTAACAGTGTCCACAAAATATTAGATGCTCAATGTGTTTTTAATTTTATGGCTCCAATCCAGAAATATCAACTAAATTAATTCTTCTATGACATTTGCTAGTTCTTGAAAGATCTCTCCTGCTTTTCATTGTCGGGTAATGAGCTGCAGTCGGTAATAACATTTGAAAATGTTTCCTGCAAACCACCATTCTAAAGCATTGACTGAGGCCTTAGCACCTGATAGATCTTTGGCAGTAAATGTAGAATGACTGCCGCTTCTGCTGGTAACGAAGCCGCTGATTGTAAGGTTTCGGAGATGAAGTCGCATTGATTTCCCATTGACAAATCATTTTACATTGCGTTTCGTGCAAAATCCACGATGATTTCCTACTATACGGCGAGAGCTTGATTACGGGACCAGATGATTCATAGCAAAATGAACCGTAATATTAGTGACTGAAGTCTGAACTGGAATGTTGTTCACAAGTACAGCTCGTTCCAGAAATTTCTTTTCTGATCTCTGTTTTTCTCATGTCTGTTATTAAATGCATTTATTTCTTGACTAATATTCTGAAACTCTTTTTCAAATTTCTTTTCTGTGACTTTTGTTTCACTTTTTCTTCTCATTCGTAGCAGTCGCAATTTCCCCTATAAAAGTATCCATGCTTTCTTTCATTTCATTAGCAATTGCTGCTATGGTATTCTTCAGTTCCGTTCGAAGTTCGAGGGTATTTGCTTCAATGGTGTTCTTCATCTAGGCGAGAGCCAACGCAGTGATTTCCTTGATTTCATTGGCATTTGTTGCTGTTTCCTCCCTACTGTCATCTACTGAAGTACTCAGCTCCTCAGAAGCTTCCTTCCTTATGGCAGAAATCATTTCCATAACAGCTTTCAACTGCTATTCCTCCCTCCTCATTATCGGCATTCACAGAGATCCCATTCTGGCAGCAGATGTTGCGAGCTATACCGTCGCGTATACGAGCTATATGTCGTGTATTTTCCTATTCGTGAAAATCTTAAGTATTTACGTAATTTTTCTCTTCAAGGCATTCAGAAAGCAAACTTCCCCAAGTTTCGAAATTGATTTGTAAACCTAACAACTGTTTTCGCTTTACAAATTGATTTACTCGTGGATTTTTAGTGCACTGGCTTTGAGCAACAATAGTGAAGAGCTTAGAGAAAACGGTGTCCACTCAAAATATAGCGGCAAAAACATGGAGGACGAAAACGTTGCGGAGAAAACAACCCAAGGTGAAAATGTCGTGGTACAAAACATCGTGGGAGAAAAGAAAGCAAAGGGAAAACATCGCAGTTTTAAAACACATCGTGGTGCAAAATATCGTCATCGAAAATAAAGCGGTTCAAAAACTTCGCAGTTTAAAAACATCATCATCGAAAATATCGCGGTAAAAAAATAAAGTACCTACAAGTCATCTCATAACGATAACATCGCACACATGCGCTTTTCAGGTTTTAAAAGATGTAAATGCATTTTCGCATAATAATTTGGGAGAGCAAGTAGGAAAGAGGGACATTTTTACTTTTATAATTCAACGCATAATTTTTCATGAAAAACACAGCCTAAAAATGATTAAAAAAAGGAAAAAAAAATAACTGCATGTGGTTACCTCTATAAAAATTGCTTAGTTAACTATCAAATTACTTTCTTTCACGTTTGTTAATCTGCTGCTGGTTTGGTGAAAATTATATGTTGTTTTGTTTCCGTTTATCCTTAAAGTGTCGTTAACATTTCTTGCGGTTCCAAATCTTTGTGCGAATATGCATTAACAACTTTTAAAACCTGAAAAACGCATGTGTGCGATGATATTGTCATGTGATGATTTGCAGGTGCTTTGCTTTATTTTCGACGACGTTATTTTGTACTACAATGTTTTATAACTGCGATGTTGTCCCTTTGCTTTCTTTTCTCCCACGATGTTTTGTAACACGGCGTTTTCGCCTTGCGTGGTTTTCTCAGCGACGTTTTCATCCGCGATGTTTTCGACTGTAACCGAGAAAACGGAGATATCTAATGTTCATGGTGGTTCTGAACATGCACTGAACGGACAGATCGATTGAACGATGGCGGGGCCAATAACGGCAGACGGAGTTAATGACAATGATTTGCGACGTGTAGCAGATGATTTCGATAGCAGTTAAATGATTTGAGGCCAAGGAAGCAACAAGGAACAGCAATAAACAGTGGGCGAGATTCAAGATACAGGGAAGTAGAAATATCTATATATACTATTAATATTTATTAAGATATAAGTTATCTTAATAAATATTAGTTAATAAGATAACATATCTTAATAAATATTAGTAATATGAATATTACTATGCATTCCAACTGGAATGCTGAATTTTATAGCTAAATGATCTAAAAGAAATGCTAAACCTAGTACTAAAACTGCTAAAATGCCAACAATGGGCAGCCGCTATTTTAAGCAAAACAGAAACCAGAAAACGCCCAGAAGTCAATTGGGGGGAATTTAGAAGTTGCATCACTGGGCTACTGAGAAAGCTGCTATATTCCTGGAAGTAGCCATCTTCTAATGGCCGTTTGTTTCACCATTTTCTTATTTATAGTTATCTACGTATTATTGTCTATATGGCAAAAATGCGATTTTTTCCCCCTGTATGAAACATTAAGCCGTTTCGGTAAAACCTCAGCTGCCAATTTTCATAATATATTAGCATCAACTTTTATGATATCATATTATAAAGACTGGACAATTTTCATGACATACATCCCGCTAAATAAATAATGTTGTGGTAGTTACTAGCAGTTTATCCATATATATAGTTTTAATTTGATATGGTCTTACTTTAACAGCGTCCTTCAAAAATTAAATTATTTGCATAATTTTCCCCTTTTCGATTTTCGTTCCATAAAATTAGTAAAAAAAGGAAGGAAATACGCTAGAAAATACAGTAATCCCTCCAGATGAGCAGGAAGAAACTGACAGTTCGTTGCAATAAATAATAATACACAGCAAAATAAATAGCTGTAAATAGTTCAAAGAAAAAGAAGCTATAAAAAATGTGGAATGCTTCGCGATTTTGCATGTAATCTTTGCACAGGGGATATGCGAATCTTCTCTATATCGCTCCTGGTTTATTATGTGTACTTGCTTTTCTAGCACATATACTAATATTTGCTAGGTTTAATTTGTTGATTTGCTAGGTTTAATCTGCTGCAGGAGAGCTACCGCTGAGGAAAATTTAAGGAAATATATATTAATTCGTATTTTACGTATAATTTTAGAAGAAACACAAGTGAAAGCGTGATAGAACACGTTTTCGTACACTTGGTGTTGCAACTGAATTTGTTGTGAACTTGAATCTTCTTTTTTCTCCGTTTTAGGAATAACTGCATCAGCTAAATGAAAATGAACTGAAAGAAGCATAGAAAAGACAAATTAAAAAGAGGATTTTGCCTTAGAATTTGCTTGTTCATGGTATAGCTGATGAAAAATTTGATGTCTAATCAGCATTTGTACATTCACAGTCAGCAATTTTAGTCCTTGATTGCATGCTTCTACAGCAAAATTCCCCAAAGAAATCTTTTAGTAGTTATGAAAGCAAATATTTTTCATCAGATATAAACCACCCAGTTTTTCATATGCTGCATATTTTCACTATTTTTGAATGTCATTTACTGTTTCCTTTAATTTTCTGTCTTAGTGTTATCAATTTCCTCTTATTCCATTTTTAATTAGTTTTATTTTCTTATATATTTATCATTCAATTTATTTATTTTATTTATTTAATATTATTTCATTTCTTTATTCATAATTACTGCCGTCCTACCATGGGGCTCCGTAATATTTAATTTTGGAAATTAAGCCCTGATCAAACATGAATGAGTTTTAAGACTCTAAAAAATCTAATTGACATTTTCCCTGTCACATGCTAATTTTAGAATTCGCCAGCTAAATGATCTGAACGAAATGCTAAATGTAGCACTAAAACAGCTAAAATGGCAAAAATGGCCAACGGGTATTCTGAACGAAACTGAAAGCAGAAAACCCCCATAAGTTAATTTGGCGGAATCCAGAAGTTGCATCATTGGGCTGCTAGGAAAGCTGCTATATTCCTGGAAGTAACCATCTTCTACTGGCTATTGTTTTCACCATTTTCTTACAGTTTTCTGCCTATTATTGCCTAAGTAGCAAAAACGTACTTTTACCCGATGTAAAGTAAAAAAACCAGCTGCCAATCTTTATATTAAGTTAGCATCAACTTTTATGATATTAAATTATAAAGAGTGGGTCAGTTTTCATGACATATATTTTCGAAACGCTCTGTAACACAGTGATAACAATACGAATGTCGTACTCTGATGTCTATAACTTAAGGAACGAGAGACAATTAGAGATCTGCATTCGAAACTGAAAAAGAGTTACCTGTTCATGAAAAGTATCACACAAAAGGTAGCTCGGAAGAGTATTAGTGATGAAGAATACAAAACAATTGCAATTATTAAGTGCAACATGGGAAAATGAGTTTATATAAAAATTGTTTACTCCAGTCGCCCTTAAACAGATGAAGCAATGACAGGAATGATATCCAAAGAAAGTTTTTCATTTACAAGAAGGTTCAGCTAGATAGAACAGGGCTTATTAAACTTTTTTCAGTTGCGACCCCTTTTTAAAACTAAGTTTTTTCCGCGACCACAGGACCCCATAATAGTTACGAAAATTTTGTGGGACCCCATAAGCCCAGCGCGAATCCTACACACGCATATGTGAAACTGTCAATTTTTTCACTTGTACTGTAATATACTATTGCAGTTTTAGGTCGTTAAGTTAAATTTCTAATTTTAAGACATAGAACAATGTGAAAATTTTAAATAAATGACAGACGAAATGACAGCGTAATGTTCAAAGCAAGTAAAATGAACATTTACATTATAAAAAGAATGCTTCGAAAACGTTTTCGTTTTTTCTTTGTCTGTATTGCCTTACCTTTATCTATTTTCAGATATATTATGTAAAAATATTTGGTAATTTAAAAATTATTATAATAAGTTAAAGAAATATGAAAACTACTGAAATTTTTGGCGTCCGCAGGTTCCGCGACCCCCACGGGAGTCGCGACCCACAGTTTAAGAAACTCTGACATAGAATGACGATGCGTGGTGAAGAGTATTGATTTAATTATTAACACTGAAGACCACAGCTCTGCAGTTGCTTATTGGCATGTGCCCACTATATACGGCAATGAAGGGGTGTCAATGTATCCGATGATATGCATATATATACATTACATGCATACTTTCTCTCTCTATACCTACATAGAAGGTAATCCAAAGGTCCAATAAATTGGAGCACATGCTTGAAATGACATGGGGTTTTATTGAAAGAATAAAAAAGCAAAAAAAGGATAACATATGGCGCTGGGCAGCAAAATGTAATTGACGTCGCATGAGAATCGTGTACGAAATTAGCTGAAGTGAGAAAGGGAATCAGTCCCTCCATCATTTTGTCAGTTTTCTAGCTTCGCTTCAGGGTGTTGGTCACGGTGTGATGTGGATTTATCTCGTTAATCATGATCGGATCCATTCTTCGAGGAAATGGGTGATTCTGTTACTCAAACTGTCAGTATGACGAGTGTGAGATACGCTGATATGTTGCAGAATCGCATCATCCCTTGTCTGTTTAATAAATACATTTTGGAAGGTATAGCTTTTATGCAGGATGGCACTCCATCCCATATTGCTACACGCGTGAAAGATCTCTTGCGCACATCGTTTGGTGACGATCGCGTGCTGAGCCGCCACTTCCATCATGCTTGGTCTCTCAGGTCTCCAGATTTCAGGCCGTGTGATTATTGGTTGTACGGTTACATGAAATCGCATGTCTATCGCGATTGTTCGACCTCATTAGGGATGCTAAAAGACAACATCTGACAGCAATTTCTCACCATACCTACAGATGTGCTGTAAAGTGCTGTTCACAACATTGTGCCTCGACTATAAGTATTGTTGATGAATGTCTGCCGACATGTTGAACATTTGTTATAAAGAACATAGTCTTTGATAAAAATAAATTTTTATGCTAAGTATTTTTTTTATCATATGAAGCGCCATCTGTTGACCCAGTGGCGTAACTATGGGCCCCTTTCCCAATAAATTTATTGTGCTTTAAAATAAAAAAAAAAAGAAAAAAATAAAAAAAAACGCGAAAAATTTAAAAAAAATTCAAGGATTTCAGGAGCCAATGTTTTCATGATGATTTTTATCACATCTGGATTAATTGTTAAAAAATAAAAGCACGTTCTTAGGGAACCAGTTGATAGGTACGTAACATGAAGAAAGAATAAAAAGGAAAATAATTTCCCTTGACCAACTGGGTGAAATAAAAATTTGCTTTAGTCTGGGTATTTAACGTCAGATGATTTTAATTCAGTTACTTAAGACTTTTTGTGTGAGTGTGAGAGACAAATTTTTCTCTCCTTTCACTGAGATGCATACTGATAATAAACGAATAAGTCTATATAAAAAAAGGAACATGTCGACGTATAGCATTAAGAAAAGGAAGAAAGCCTATATTTGCGGAGATTTTTATATAAAATCCAAGAAATTTTACATACTAATGTTTTAAATTTTTACATAAAATCTGCGCCTATCTAAGTTTTTTCGTTCAAGTTAAGCAAACTTATAAATAATTAGTTATATTATAAACTGACAGACAAGATAGTTGATAAACGTACAGAAAAGCTATTACATCAATGTATAGTACTCTGTGATTTACTCAGCTTACGAACATGATTTATGCAATAATATACAAGTAATAAATAAGAACTTTTATAATGTAAATGATACATTTGTTAAATATAAACATATTTATCATAAACTTCATAAAGAAACTATTTGAACATACAATTTTTGTAGAAATATGTATGGTAAAGTTTTTTCTGTCTTTTTAAAAAACCTTTTGGTACACTAAACTACTTGAATACATGATTTTCATAAAAAATATGAATGTTAAAGTTTTTTACTGTTTCCTTTTAATTTTCCTCAGTCCGTACTGCTCTTCTTCTCTAATTTTTTCCTCCCTCAATAAGTGTAATGATAACATTGGTGGCCGAAATTCATCATGAAGAAAAAAATCCTTCTTTTAAAATTTGCGTTTCCTAACCTTCATTTCCGCAAAATTATTTATCAATACTTGGACGTCCATTTTCTCAGCCATCTCAGCTTCAACGCTCAATAGTGAAAGGTTTGACAACCGATCTTGTGTCATACTGTTTCTTATATATGTTTCTTAAATATGTTTTTATTAGTTTCAGTAGTGAAAATGACCTCTCACTCGTGGCTGTTGTTACAGGTAATGATAAATACAATATAAGTGAATTGCACACTCCCGAATAACTGCTTGTCATGTCCGTAATATTTTAACCATTGCTAATTTAGCTAAATCCTTAACGGATTTCAAATTTTGGATTTCTGTTCTGAAAGTATTTATAAATAATCAAAAGTTGTACTTCCAGTGCAAGTAGCAAAGTCTTCTTTATATGTTTTCTGCACTTTTTGAAAACATTATTAATAATTTCCGTATTTGTTAACAATGACAGTGTTTTAGGTTCTTTATTTCTTTTTTATTTTTCAAATTTAGTTTCTATGCCCCATTTATTTGCAATAAACTCAGCTTCTTTCATAATGTCTTCAAACTTGTTTCTCATATCTTGCATATTAATAGAAACGCTTTTTAGATGTTGATGAGCTCCATTCAAGTCGATTGATTTTCGATTAGTCGAGCCGATTGATTGGTTGATCGATCCTGCACTATAGCGCAGGACGTGTTTAAAAAATTTTGTTTTTAATTTTTGGCCTGTTACTGATGTTTCTTAATGTATGGAAACATACATTTATTTATATTTCATCATTTATCATAAAAATATTTCATGTTAATATAAACAATACGTTATTAATATTAGTAAGACATTTGCATTGTTTATGGTAACAAGTTTGGATTTTTCAGATAAATGGATTAGAAAGTTTAGCTGAATTGAATTTTTAGCAAGTTTTATATTATAGGAATTTAGTTTATGATTAATTTAGATTTTACAAATCAATAACTTACCTTTATAATGAAGAATTATATTTGAGATCCCTTTGAAATTTAATTTTAAAGGAAAA